ATTTTGTTTTATGGTTAGGTTAGGATTTAGGGCTATATTTGATATTGAAAGAGTATATGTGGATTTTAGCAGAGCTTATAGTTTCAAATCGAGACCCCAAATTTCAGCATCAGCCGCGACATTAGATAAACTTGAAAAGCTATCAGACTTAACTGTCGAGTTCATTTCAAATAACATATATAAAGATAAATTTAACAATGTAATTTACAGTGAATTAGAAAGCTCTGATTCTGGAACCTCACTAGTTTATACTTGCCGGCAAAACCCAGACAAATCCCAAGCCTAAAAAAACAAATAATCTTAATATTTTGCAAATATAGTATACATTGCTATACGAATATATGGTACCCCATAGCAAAAGGAGGGGATGGACCAAAAAATTAAAATTTTAATTTTATGATAATTTTGTTTTAATTAATCCAATTCAAGAAATTGATTTTTTTAAAAATATTTTTTTGCCTATCCCCTCCTTTTGCTGTGGGGGTCCCATATATCATTTGTTTGAATAAAAGTTATTAATAAAGTTTTTGAGATACAGTAGTGGCGGAAAATTATGCCACTTTTTTACCAAATATAGAAATTTTTAAAAAATTGATTAAAAAAATATAAAAATTTAAATATAAAATATAATTAATATTTAAATTTTTAAAAAATTAAAAAAGATTAAAATTAAACTTGAGATTTAATAAAATTAGCCTAAATTTTAGGTTAAATTTTAGATTTTTATTTATAAAAAATTAAAAATTTATTTAATTTAAAAATTTTTACATATATTTTTAAATAGTTGTAAATATTTTATAAAATAACAGTAAAAATTTTTTATAAAAAAAATTTATTAATTTTTAGTACATATAATAAAACTTAACTTAAATTTACTAAAATTTAAATTTAAATTTAAATTCAATTTTTTGGTATTTTTTTTTTATTTTTTATTATTGAATTAATATCTTTGTAGCCATAGGCTACATGTAGAATCAGGTGTAACGTAACTATCAAGACAATCAAAATAACTCTTTTTCTAGTTAGGATTAGAGTGAGGTAAAGGTAGTATGCGGGCAAAGGAAGGTGGTTTACAGTAAAATTTGGCGAGGAATTTTTTTTTTTAGAAGCTAAAGAGTAGTTTCAATACTCAATTTTGAGTTATACCCGATTTTTGACAAAATGAACGTTTGTTTTGAAATTTCCTGATCGTGTTACGTTACACCTGATCTTGAAATTTGATTGGCTTTTATAGATGTGGCTACACTATATATAAATTTTTCCTTTATCCGCCACCACTGTATTAGTTTGGCCAGAGTTTGGGATTAAGATCATTCCGATACAAATAGAATCATATAATCCAAGATTTTATTAAAAAAATACTATTACACAGATTAGTGATGTGACTCGTTATTCACTGAATATAAATTTATTAATAAAATTCAGTGAATGTTCAATAGATTTATTAATAAATTTATATTCAGTAAATAACTCTAGTGGGAATGGAATTTGGAATTTCCTGGGTTAGAAAAATTTAAATACAATACGTATGTACGTAAGCTATAAACCCAGAACGTAAACTCTGCAAGCTTTATGAATTTCTCGAATATTTAATTAACTTATAAATCGCTTTTAGATTCTTTTTCGGTATGGGTAAAGAAAATATTCAAAATTTAATATTATGGGTAACAATTTGCATATGGGCTGATTTGTTTCCACAAGCATTGATCATTTGACTGATCCTAAATCCTATTGGTTAATTTATCATTTTACACAAATTACGTTATTGATGCAGATTAGAGGTTGGAACCGGTTTTAAATATTCGAGTTTATCACATCAAAATTCGAGTTTATCACACCAAAATTCGAGTTTATCACGTTGATCATTAATGATTGAAGTGATAAACTCGAATTTTGGTGTGATAAACTCGAATTTTGATGTGATAAACTCGAATATTTAAAACCGGTTCCAACCTCTAATGCAGATCATTATCTAAGTAAGATCTGCATCAATAATGTAACACTTTACAATGATCATCTGACTGATCTAAAATCCTATTGGTTAATTTAATGGAAAACAAATCCGCCCATATAGGCTAACTTTCTCGTGATTGGTCAATTTTATTCAATTGAATTTATACAGTTTAAAGGTTGGAACCAGTTTTAAACATTCGAGTTTATCACATAAAAATTCAAGTTTATCACACCAAAATTTGAGTTTATCACATAAATCATTAATGATTTATGTGATAAACTCAAATTTTGGTGTGATAAACTTGAATTTTTATATGATAAACTCGAATATTTAAAACTGGTTCCAACCTTTAATACAGTTTAGAGTACTTTTACAACCCCTGATAGTAAATTTTTTTGTTTTAATAATTAAGAACCGGTTAAACTATTCTCAAAGACTCTTCGCAAAGAAAGCTTTAAGTATCTTGTGTATCTCTAGGATCCACCACATCTAAGTATACCTCATTAAGAAATGGATTTCAACCTTGAGGAACGACAATGTGCAGTAATCGTGTGTGCTGAAGCTTCTAATCAGCTCTTAAAAAAGGTTACTGACTTTGTTCTAGAACGGGCTCAGCAAAATAAAACTTTACCAGCTTACTTAAAAGTCAATGATGTGATATGCCAGCGGTGTTACAATGGAATAGTTGTTCGACCTTTGGCTGTGATGAAAGAACATGCTCAATCTGCAGGTATTGAAGACTATCCCGATATAGTGGTCGATACTCAGGAGGATATCTTGGAAATAATGTCTTTTTCAAATGTAATAAAATTTATGACTGAGGTTTTATATCGGCATGAAGTTACTCAAAAATTGTCAGTGTTTCGGACATTTGAAGAATTTCGTACCTGCATAGAAGCTAAAGATAGGCGTTTGAAAGCTTTTTTTGATGAACTTGTATTATCAGCAAATTTGTCACAAAAAAAGCATAAATCGTATCCTAAAATTATGTCCCAGTTGCTACTCGTTTGTTATATTCTTTGTGGTATACGTAACAAATTTATTATTAATATAAAGCATGATCTAGCTCTTTATCTTGATTCTACAGACACAGATGATTCAACTATTAATGCTTTAGCAGAACTCGGTATTACATCAACGTCCCAAACAGTTTGGCGTAAAAAAAAAGAAATTTCAGAAAGCCATATGGATACAATAAACAACCATTTGGAAAAATACCGTGAGACTTCTATGGTCTTAAACGTGGACGATTATTATAATATATATACAAATCGTGTCCCAAAGGGTAGTGAAACATCAACCCCAACTCATATAGCAACAATTCTTCTGAATCCAATAAATGCAACATTACCAATTCCTATTAATTTTAACGGTATAAGCATTCATAATCCAAAACTCATCGATGCTGACTCTCTAAAGGTTGATTTAGAGAATAGATTTATGAAATTGTTAGGAATGTCTTTTAATGAACGATGGAAAAGTCAGGTAAGTAAAAATGATGAAAAAACTATGAAAACATTAACGATTCATAGTTATGATCTTCGGCTTAAAGAAAGAATAAACGATCGATCATTAAATAATATCGTTCTCGTCGATTTTGTAAAAAATAATCTATATTCTATTAACGATTATTTGGAAAGTTTGTCTATTATTAGAAAAGTGAATACTATGTGAGAATATTTCGATTCAGGTTATATAATACCCCTTGTGGCTGATTGGCCTGGTCAAATATTTTTAAGAAGTGTGATATCACGGTTTCTAACGTACGGTGATAAGTCTAATATTTCTCAAGATGTGTTATCATTCATTCCTATCATCGGACCGTTGCATATATCCTTAAATAGCCGCAAACTTGTTTATATACAGTATCAACCATTTTTCTCTTTATTATATAATAATTTATTTGAAAAAACAAAGGATCTTAGAACTAATATTCAACCCTGGAAGATTAATTTGCTTCTTGAGGTGACTCGTCATGGCTGGCTTCGAATTTTAGATATCGTTAGAAAAAAATTCAGCCTATGTGAAGATCTTGAATATCTTACATTCAAGGATTTGTTGAATAATTTAATTCCACTTGTCCTTGATATATATGCAATTTTTTTCGTACTGGTGAATAGGAAGAATATGAAGAGTCAATAATACGGGTTTGGACACTTTTTTTACAGTTTTGTCATCATAATTATAACAAGGCGCCACTAATATTTTTATCTGATATTTCATATTGGAGAAATATTAACTATCCTATTTTAGAAATTTTAAAAGCGCATTTGCCAAAATTTTTGGATGCTTCTGTCGAATTATTTCACAGCCTTCTGCGACGAACTACTCAAAAGCATGATGGTGCAGATCACTTACAACATCAAGCATATTTTATTAATTTTTTAAAATGTGAAAAACGTCTTAAAGAGTTATTTGAGCATCAATCTACGTGGAAAAAATATCCTTTGAGTCACAGAAATTTAAATAGCTGTACACAAAAAGCAGCATGTTTTTTATTAGAGCAGTTTATTAACATTTACAATCGAATTGCTACA